TTCATACCTCTGATTAATGCAACTCTCATGTTATTGCCAGAAGCAGCTGTGCTGAACTATCAATTCGGCTAAGCTAACTGCAGGTTAGCACCAGTAAATTTAGACACTCCTGCTTAGGGCAGAGTGTCTACATAAAAAAAACTAAAATGCAATGTATTGCGGCTTATAAGTTCTTAGACATGGTGGCTTCATTAGCTTTAAATTTTTGCTTGTACAGAAAATACCTATTGATCTTGCCAAAAATGGAGCAACCTTGCCACTTCCTGTGTGAACTTAAAGGAAAGCACAACAAATCCTATCTTTATTGTGTAAACTACGAGTCCCATCAATCCACCACGTAATGAAGATGAACAAAGATACACATGTTTAGTTTCCAGCCTGGGTGACAGCCATAGCTGCCCCCACAGATACAATGGGTAAGCTGCAATAGATTAAATTTTTGTTATTGAGTTTAGATATGTTTAAAACTGATTGGTTGAAATCACAAGAACTTTTATTTAGTTAATGCAATATTTCAGGGGATGTATAGAAGGTTATGGGATTAATAGGGATGAGCAGAGTGTTTGGTTCAACGATAATTACTTTACAGAATGTCCCACAATGCTTTGCCAAAACTTCTGCTCAGGTGCAAGGCTGTGACCAATGAAGGTTTTGATCTACAATACAGCACACACGCAATCAAAGGCTGCTTTCCCAGCAGCCTTTTTTAGTGTGTTGGTAGTTTAGAGTGAGAGTGGGGGACAGCTGACATAGGGAGAGAGAGTTGGTCAGTTTATTGTAGTGTGCTGCTACTGCTTTGTACTTTATACAGTTCTTTACCCTTCAGCTTTGGGAACCACAGTGCCACCAGCAGGTGATCCAGGTTCTGAAACCCAGGGAGAATAAAATGTAACTTCTGTATTTACAGATGGGGCCTACCTTCTCTCTTCCTCGCAAATTCCTCTGTGCAGAAAATCAGTATGATGTCTAGATTATATGTAAAAAAAAACCAGTCTGATTGATTATTGCTGGCTGAAATAAACCTGCATTTCCTGCATCTAAATTGTCTTCTCTTAAAAAGAAGCAGAAAATGTGCATCAAATCTGTGAAAAGTTACTGTATATAGTGTGTCTTAAAAAAATGTTTTACTTGCTTGCAGAAATTAGTCAGCTTTCTGCCATGTTTTCCTAATTTCAAAGAGGATTCGATAATGTTCTAAGAATGTGCACAATCTCCATTATCGGTGTGCATGTAAATACAGTTTCCTTTACAATTTCAGGCTGAAATAAGCCAACTGTCTGTCTTCAAGTTGGCCTCCCATTAATAAGGATGAGATACTCTGAAACCCGTATAATATTTATATCATACAGTGGGGCAAAAAAGTATTGAGGCTGTTTCTCCGCAAAGGAACCAGGATGACTGATCCATGTGCAGGACAGAATGAATGGGGCCATGTATCGTGAGATTTTTAATGCAAACCTCCTTCCATCAGCAAGGGCATTGGAGATGAAACGTGGCTGGGTCTTCCAACATGACAATGATCCCAAACATACTGCCCGGGCAATGAAGGAGTGGCTTCGTAAGAAGCATTTCAAGGTCCTGGAGTGGCCTAGCCAGTCTCCAGATCTCAACCCCATAGAAAACCTTTGGAGGGAATTGAAAGTCCGTGTTGCCCAGCGACAGCCCCAAAAACATCACTGCTCTAGAGGAGATCTGCATGGAGGAAAACATACCAGCAACAGCAGTGTGTGCCAACCTTGTGAAGACTTACAGGAAACGTTTGACCTCTGTCATTGCCAACAAAGGATATAGAACAAAGTATTGAGATGAACTTTTGATATTGACCAAATACTTATTTTCCACCATAATTTGCAAATAAATTCTTTCCAAATCAGCCAATGTGATTGTCTGGATTTTTTTTTCTCATTTTGTCTCATAGTTGAGGTCTACCTATGATGCCAATTACAGGCCTCTCTCATCTTTTTTAAGTGGGAGAACTTGCACAATTGGTGGCTGACTAAATACTTTTTGGCCCCACTGTATCTCCAAAAATATATAATATTAACTTCATTATTTAAAGATAAATCTGTCTGCCCTGTGCCTCAGAAATAGTGACTTTTCTAAAAAGGACTTTAAAGATTTTTCTATCTTTTGCGTGTAAAAAAAAAAAAATTCTGATTATAAGGTCCAAACTGCTTCCTATCTCTCTCAGATATTGTGAATAGTCTGAATTTTTTTTAAAAGGTCTGTAACATGAATTTAAATCGGTAACAATTTACTGCCCACAAAAAGAATATAATGCCCAATTTTTGGTAAAACATAAAAGATTATAGTGCACTGAGTAAATAGATACCAAACATGTCAAGAATTACACCTTTGAAATAGCGAAAAACTGCAGCACCTAAAAACCTTCATAGGTGACGCTTTAAAAGCCTTTACAGGTTACCAGTTCACAATTAAACATAGTCTCTGTTGCTAGAATTATTACTTTCACTCTGACATTCGTGGCAACACTCCATATGTGTGGGGAAATCACCATTTATATATGCATGCTGGACTTACATGAATGTTCACATTTGCGGGTGAGCATAGGATGAGCAGGGGGGGGGGGTTGGGTTCTATAAAACCTACCATCCCTCCTCTGCCCTCCACTCCAAAGCATCTGATCAAACTGAGATCAGCTTGATCAGATGCTTGTCTAGCCAGTAACGGCTAGAAAACAGACAACTGCAATTTGAAGTGATAAAAAGCCTTGTAGCTTCTGGGATCATTTGTCACTGAGGAAGGGGAGGAATGGATGGGAAAGGCTCTCTGTCCTCTTATTGCAGCTGACCTGACTGTGTGGCAATGCCGGGCTCCCCAGTTAAATGGGAGAACTCAGGAACAGTGGTGATGGGAAGGGTGCCTTTTCAGTCCTGCAAAAATGATCAGGTAGCTATAGAGCTGCTCAGGTCACTTTTACAGTAAATCCTAGCAAATTTTGGTACCCGAATCATGGTTGCAGCTTTAATGAATGCCAATGGATGGAATGCCTGCTCAATTGCTCATCAACTGAAACCTGTCCATACATACTCAGCAACTGTGCTACCACATTATTTCCATCATTTGTCTTCAAAAGAAAGCATATATTTTAGATTTTAAGATGAAATCTAATATCTTTCTCCTTTTAAAAATGCAGGCTATCTTCTAAAAATGTAAAAAGGTGTTCTTGAAAACTTTTATTTTTAGTTCTTCAAATTTAGCTCTGTATTTTCTGTTTTTACATGTAATCTGTCTGCTCTCTGCCTCTGGAATAGTGGAAGGTTTCAAGAACTCTGCATCAAGTGTTTTACAATTGTTTAGGTGCTCTGTGATTTGTTTATCCCAGATCAGGTCTGCTGGATCCCCCTCTGATTTAGAGTCCTAAGCCGGCCATAGATGGATCGAATATTGGCTGGTTCAACAGGGACCATCTGAGATTCAATCCTTCTATTGGCAGGCTGACTGTACTGAAGTCAATCCATTGGGTTCAGTACAACCAGCATGTCAGATTTTTTGCAATCACTGCCGGTGACTATACCTGTTATTAGTGATCATTGTGTTCTGTCACAGGGAAGTCTCCATCAGATTCCCCAACGCTGATTGTGTTGATGGGAGAATCAAGCAACTTTTCAAAACTGCATCATCTATGGCTCGCTTTAGCAAAAAATGAGTACATACTGTCCAGCTAATTATTTCATCTTTTCTGGTTTGTGGAAATCAGACATATTGGGTTGCTACTGCTATATGTAGGCCAAACAATGATGATTAGATGTGCAATTTATATGATGCAGTATATGGTGTCACTGACACTGTCCCAACAATTATTTGCACATTTTTTTTTTCTTTAGTATACGACCCCGAGGTCAGTGCCTGTCCACCCTCACCCCACCCCCCCCCCCCCCAATCTCCATGCTTGGAAAATGGCCATTCCTGAAAATGAATGTTTGGCTGCCACTGATTTAAATGTGATTTGGATTCCAGAAGCAAACTTCAATAACATTCGCTGAACGTCTGCCAAACCTAGTTATGTTTGGCTTATCACAGCTGTCTGCCCCCTTTTCTTCACATGTGCATACAATACAGACCCCTGCCTGCCTCCTTAAATGTATATACAATGCAACCTGCTGTGGGCAGCCCAGTAAAATCTTGCTGGGGCAAGTGACATAGAGGTAGCCGGCAAACCTGAGAAAGGCACAGCTTACCATACAAACTTTCTTCATTCAGAGCACCACCCATCTGTCCTTAATTGCATTTAATTGCTCAGATGTGTGGTTACATGCAATAGCTTCAACACCTGTCAGTCTGTCATTGATTTGTACCGGCTGCTGGTCATGGCAGATTTTGCACACATGTGCATATCCACCACAGAGAAATGCCACAGAGAAATGCTGATTTATTAGTGGCATATGGCCCAAACTGTCCTAGTAAATGAGCCCTTTTACAGATAACTACAACAGGTAATTAAAAGGATAAAAAAACAGATTATTGTATAATATAATATAAACACAATACAATAGTATTGTTCTGTCCTGCTAACGAAGAAACAGAAGCATTGTTGTGTTTCATTCCAAAACTGAATTTACTTCTGTGAATAGTTCTGTAAAACTGCAATGCAATTACATAAACTGAAGTTACAATATGCTTGTAACATGTATCTCGCAAATGCTTACAATGAACACATTTCTTGCAAACAACTACCTACAAATCACACTAAACACATTTAAATGTGATCTGGATATATACGTGACTTTAACAAACACAATTAACTAATTGCCGACCGCAGATAGCCGAATGACGGCTGCACTGCGGCCGGCCAGTTCTGGGTGGACGTCGACGTCCTCCCAGAACGCGCTCTCCTCCTGCGCGCACGCACCCCGGCGATCTCCGTGATCGCTGTGTCCTACGGACACAGCTGATCACCTGACGTGGTAAAAGGCCAATCACAGCAGCCTTTTACCACGTGATCAGCCGTGTCCAATGACACGCTGATCACCGGGAAAATTCAAATGCCGGTTCTCAGCTGCACTTTCCTCACGCTGTCAGATCGTGAGGAAAGTACTGCCGAAAACCGGCAGTTGTCAGAGCGGGGATCGGCACCGATCATCAGGGTCACTGATCACCAGTGCCCTGATGATCGGTGCCCAGCAGTGCCACACACAAGTTCCGCCCACCTGTGCCCAGCAGTGTGCCCACCTGTGCCCAGCAATGCACCCACCTGTGCCCACCAATGCACCCACCTGTGCCCAGCAGTGCGCCCACCTGTGCCCAGCAGTGCGCCCACCTGTGTCACCCAGCAGTGTCACCACCTGTGCCCAGAAGTGCCACCTACCTGTGCCCAGTAGTGCCACCCACCTGTGCCCACCAGTGCACCCACCAGTGCCCATCAGTGCAGCCCAGCAGTGCCACCAGTCAGTGCCCAGCGGTTGTGCCAGTCAGTGCCACCTATCAGTGCTGTCTATCAGTACCCATTATCAGTGTCGCCTATCAGTGCCACCAATCAGTGCCGCATATCAGTGCCACCTATCCGTGACACCTCATTAGTGCTGCCTATCAGTGCCGCCTATCCGTGCCACCTCATTAGTGCCACCTATCAGTGCCCTTCAGTGCTTCCTATCAGTGCCCATCAGTGCCGCCTATCAGTGCCCATCAGTGCTGCCTCATCAACGCACACCAGTGAAGGAGAAAAATTACCTGTTTGAAAAGTTTTATAATAGAAACAAAAAAACTTTTTTTTTTTTTTCAAATTTTTTTTGCACTTTTTTTTCTTATAGCACAAAAAGTAAAGTGCCCAGCAGCGATTAAATACCACCAAAAGAAAGCTCTATTTGTGAGAAAAAAAATGATAAAAATGTCATATGGGTACAATCTTGCATGACCGCACAATTGTCAATCAAAGTGCGATAGCGCTGAAAGCTGAAAATTGGCCTGGTAAATGAGGGGGTATAAGTGCCCAGTAGGCAAGTGGTTAATGAACTTACAGACAAATGTGTATCAAAGGGAGAATGGAGGAGACTTTCACTGGTGTTCTTTAGTAAGCTAAAAAGGCTGCAGTGGTTTATGTGAAATATTTATTTTTAAAAAGCATGACACACTTCCTTAACTTGTTGAAAGGAACAATAAAAATAGCACCTATGATGTGAATACAGAACAAGTATGTTTTAGCAGTTCCAAAGACAACTGTGTACAGTCACAGCTAGGTAAATGAAAATGTATGTCAAATCAAAACTTTTTTTGGTTTTAGATATAGTGGATAAGAAGTGGAACCCTTGCCCCTGCTGATTTTTAAACTTTGTTGGAGAGATTTACCCTCATTTTCTGAACTGCTGGCTAGACAGAAAATTAGGGGAACTCTCCAACAGCAGCACATACAGAAATAACATTTTATTTTTGTAATGGTTTGAGGAGACAGCCAATGATCACTTTGCTTGAAAATGAACAGAATACATAGCAGGAAGGTCTACCAAAAATAATATAGATATTTGCAGTAGTTCTATTTTACTAATTTACAGTAGCCATCCAATTTGGAGGAGAGAGGGACTTTCCATCTGAAAGAGGAAGGGTTGGCAGCTCTATTCTTTGACTAAAGAGGTGCATGGCTCTGAAGGCTGTGTATTCTTACAAGGCTGAAACAAACATGGGTTAGCATTTGTTTAACACATAGATTCCATATCATTTTTAAATTTGGAATTTTTTTGCAATGTAAATTTATATTTATGTGGACATCTTCACATTTGTCACCTATATGCCATGTTAGCGGTCAGGAAGTCAATTGTGATGTAGGCATGACATTTAAATTGTCCTCTTCCATCGTTCAGTAGAAATGATGCATTATAAAGCACAGTTTGGTTTGATTTTTTCTTTTTATGTGATTTTTTCAGCACAGAATTATTTTTTTTCGAACATCTGTATCCACCTTGCTGCCTAGCAACCAGACAAAGATAAGAAGTTGTACACAGCTGCCCACTCAGTTTTCTGCTGTGGCAGGATATTTTTCTCCACTAGATGTATCTTCTGCAAGGCAGGTAACAAGTGATCATCAAAGTACCTGCAGTTTTTAAATTACACTTTAGTCTTAAAATGAAAGTTGGTATTTGACAGTACAGCATAAACATTTCTGGAAGACATACAACACTTTTTCCATTCTAAAGGAAGCCTGTACTGTGGAAATATGGAGGTTGCCATTACCAGTTTCTCAGTATGAATATGCTGGTTATCAGGATGTCATGCTGATCTAGAGTCTTCAGTTGCTTCTCAGTCACTGAATTGCAGCAGGTATGTAGATTAGGAGCAATTCACTTTGACATTGGTTCCTGCATGCTTCTTCCAGGTCAGTAGCTCAAACTACTGAAGCCAGAGACAGCTTGGCAATTACCATTTTCAGAAGTAGGTTAGCCTCATATTTCAGTACAAGTTTTTTATAAAGTGTATATAAACCTTAACAATGCACTTCTCTTTTTTGCTCCTTTTTGGTCTGTTAAATATACAAATTAAAGGGCTTTGTTATACCTGTTTGATAATTGAAAAAAAATATATCCCATTGATCATACTGGAGATTCAGAGCTTTCAGGTGTATTGTGCACACTTCCTGTGTTATCTCAAGGATAATTTTTTAAAAATGAAACATTTTCTTTATATATGCTTACCTGGACACAATAAACATAGAGTACTAACACTTTATCTGATTCTACTCTAAAAAAGAACATATAGAGTGCAGGGATCAGGACCATATATTAAACAACATAGCATATAAAGTGCAGTGGGCAGAACTGTAAACCTTACAATGTAGAGTGTAGAATGCAGTGATCAGGACAATCTAGCATACAGAGTATAGCATTCAGGATTAAGTCACACATACAACATAACATATTGAGTACATGATACGGACTATACTGTATATAGGTACACCCAATATAGTGCAGTGGTCAGGACACTGCACCATACAAAATATCATATCTAATGCAGCAATCAAGGTTCCGTAAAATAAAACATAGAGTATAAAGTGAAGAAGTCAGGACTATGTATAAAAGGCTGGGGCTGGGACTATCTAATGTACAACAGTATTTGCTCATTCTGTCCTCTTACACTGGTGGCCAGTGCATTGCCTTACATTGCTTGTCTGTGCTTATTGTGCACCCCTTTACATTGGTGATCAATGCCCAGGGTATCCCTTTACATCGGTGGTCAGTGTACTCCCTTACATGGGTGATCAGTGTGCCTCTTTAAATTGGTGTTCAGTGCTCAATGTGCCCTTTTGCATTGGTGGTCAATGTGGCCCTTTACATTGGTGGTCAGTGTGTCCTTTTGCATTGGGGTTCAGTGCTCAGTGTGTTTCTTTGGTGGTCAGTGTGTCCCTTTGCATGAGGATCACTGCTGCTCTTTTAGATTAGGCGCAAGTCTCCAGCTTGATTTCCTGTGGAGTGACTTCAGGGTTTGAGTCAAGGTGCCTCTCCAGCTCAACTAGCCTTCCCCCCCAGAGGATGCAGTCTTTACATCTCTAGAGTCGCTGGGGCAGCAGTAGAGACAGTACCACACCCCTGGTAAAGTTGGGCTTCCCCCTTGGAGCTTGGGGTTGAGGCATTCCTGGTGGTATTCCTTAGTCGATTCCCCCAACCCTCTGAATATGCCAGAGGTCAACTTTCTGGTACAGCAGATGCTCCCAACATTGGTGACGATATTCCAAATGACAGACCAATGTTACTAAGTTTAACTGGTACTTTGGGCTACAGTGTTGGTGGCTGTTTTATTGCTGTGGTCATATCTTATTTGAATAAATTATATCAATTAATTGCATGGTTATAATGTGTTGATATATGTGTGGTGCTTACGCATGGCACGAGAGCGTGCCATAGTTATGAGCAGGGGTGTATTTACCACAAGGCAAACAAGGCAGTTGCCTAGGGCGGCATTTTTCAGGGGGACAGCAGCATTTTTCAGGGGGGCAGTGCCATCCCCTGAAAGAAGGAAAGGAAGAAGGGACACGTGCAGCACGGGGACCAGGTGGGATCTAAGAGAGGCTGCGGGCTGCTTGATGGTGTATGCAGAGCATGACTTTTGTTCCCAGGGAGCTGTGAAGGTGGGTGTCTTATCTCTTGCCAGGGTGGGGGGGGGGGGTTTGCCAGTGTATGGGGAGCGGTGGTAGTGGAAGGCTCTCTCAGGTGGGGGTGGGCAGGGGACTGGGGTGTTGCTGGTCAATGTCAGGCTCTCTTCATGGGGAAGGGGGTGTTTGGCTTGTGTCAGGGTCTCTCCATGGGGGTTGTGTTGCCTAGGGCAGCACGAAACTTAAATACACCACTGGTTATGAGGGCGAAAATGTAGGAGAGAGTCATTTACCACTGTAAATGTGGTGTGCTGAGGTGCAATTTCAGGCAATACTGTGTCTCAGTGTGCACAAACATGGAGCACAAAGCCACTGCTTTGCTCTGTGCATTAGATGAACCCAATAGTGGACCAACTTGTCCTCTGTTATGGGCTCCTGGTGGCCATCTTGGGGAAGCCAAAGACTATTATTTTTCCTTTGAATTCTCTAAATTTTCGCAATAACTATATACAGTATGATGTGCTGCACTATTAGAGGACATTTTGCATAGTAAGAGTCACAGGATGCAGCAGCAGCATGTAAGGAAAGTGAGTAGAGACATTTCCCCATAGTAAGTGCCCTTCAGAATGGACACTAGTTCCCACTCCTGGCTTGGGAACAAAGATTTAACTTGAGAAGGTGGAAGCTATCTGGGTGAATGTAGTATTATATGTAGAGCTCAATATGCATTTTAGATTGATTGTGTGCTTTAAGCCACATGTGAAGTGGGCTTAGTTTGCTGTATGGCTGCAGGAAGTAACCCCCCCCCCCAAAAAAAAGAAAACAGCAAAATTGACTTTTAATATGCTGGACTGGCCATCTGGTCACTTGAAGATGGTAAAGCACTGCCAGTACCTGGGTAGAGTGAAGTACAGTTGGCTCAGTTGGGAAATGCAGGTGGCAAGCAGAAGGATGGTCAGTCAGCCTGGCATGAGTTCCAAACGTAAATCCCAAATTTTGGGTTGACACCAGAACAGTAATAGAGGTGTAGCACTACCCTCGTAAGGGCCACTTGATCTGTTTAGGTCCCCCTGCACTCTGCATTCAGAGTCAGTAAAAACAGTCCTTGAGCTGTTTATTTAGTTCTTTTTATTACGGGGTTAACAACTTGGATGGGGTCTAGGGTTAAATGGGATGCAAAAGGAACTGTAGAACTTGAAGACAAACTTCTTAGCAACCATGTACAAAAAGAGTGGACTGGCAAAAATAAAATAGTCCTATTTTTGTTGTATAACTCCACAGACCGCAAATAAATCCTCCTCTTCAAACAACTTTGCTGAGGGTTTCTGTGAGCAAGGGGGTCCCACGAGCTTGCAGGTAAGCAGTCCCAGGTGAAGACTAGTTGGATATTGCACCTGGCCACTCTCTCCCCTTATCAGGCTCATGGGTGTAGGAGTACTCACATTGTCCTTGCCTGCTAGCATGGTGGGATGGTAGGCCTTTCGCTGGGCTGGCTCCTTC